CCTTCCCTTCTGTGTCCTCCAGCTTAATGGGGAAATTGGTGGCCAGCAGCTCTGGCGGCGCCTGGAATGAGACCCGTGCCGTGGCCGGCCCCGCCCCCTCCCCGCTTGGCCGCAGAGGGCCCGCTCCGTCCTCCTCCTCTTCCTCCTCCTCCTCTTCCGAGTCCGTCTCGCTCACGGAGATTTTGTGCTTCGGCTTCTCACCTCGCTCTGGGTGTTTCAACTTCCGCTTCTTGCTCTTTTTGATGCGTGAGCGCTTCTCGCCCAGCGCCTCGCTCCGGTTGCGCATGGCAGCCACAGCTTCCAAGGCAGCCTTCCGGTTCCGCTTGTCCTTCTTATCAGCGGGGACTTTGGGCCCTGCGAGCGAGGGCGGCTGCTTCCCCACCGGGTCGAAGTCAAACAGGGAGTCCTTCAGCTTCATCTTCTCCAGCAAGGAGCTGTCGGATTTCAAGCGCCGGAAGGAGGCTTTCTTCTTCGATGACTTGGCCTTCTTGACGAAGGTCTCGATGGTGTGCAGGTCCGACCGCGTGGATTCCCAGCTGTCGCTGTCCACTACGCTCTCCGGACACAGCGGGGAGTTGGAGCCAGACGGCGTCCAGTCATTCTCCTGCCGGGAAGACAAAAGACAAGATTAGCCCTAATTCCAACCCCGGATTAACGCCCGAGTCCAGATTCCGGGAAAGCAAAGATCTTGTCCCAACACAAATAGGTTTTGATGGCAGGACAGGCTGTCCTCGTGTGATGACCCAGAGAGGCGTGGCACAAAGGTAACCCAGTCAGATAATCAGTAGGAGTCCCTTTATTATCTGCAACTTTGCCCCCAATGCCCAGGTTACCTTTTGGCTAGAGAAAAAACTCTCCCAGGAACAGCCTTTGACTGCAGAAAATTCAGTCCAAAACATGGTCAACATGAACTGTAACTTAAGATCCAAAAAAACCAAACTAAAGTAGTTAGTTTGACAGGTCAGAAGGACTTTCAGACTTGAAAGCCAGGCAAAACTCAGTTGGGAAGACGCCAGGAACACAGATAATTCACGATTAGCTTCCAACAACTTGCTGCACACAGGTTGCCTTTTTATTAATGAAGGGAATCAGGGCCCTTTCCTCCCCCGTAAGCTACCCAACCCACGTTGCTCCCTTCTCCGTTCCTCCCTGCATGCCCTAGGATGAAGAGGGGTTTGGGCCTGGGTCTTCCTCTGAATGCCCTTTCCCTTGTTCTACCTCTCCCCTGCTCTGCCCAGCCAACCTGTGCCCTTCCCCAGTTACTTCCAAAGCCGACCGACTCCCACTCCGTCAGCTGCTTCCGCCTCAGTCTGATTCCGACAGGGGCATGCCACATCTACTTATAACAGTCACTTTAACAACTAAAGTTACAACACGCTGAAAAAAAAAAAAAAAGGGACTTAGGACTGTTTTTCACACTTACAACCGCTACAGTATCCCCATTGTCATGGGTTCAAAATTCAACCATTTGGCAACCAACTCCTATTTATGACGGTCACAACATCCCAGGGTCACATGATCCCCCTTTTGCGTCTCTTTATAGCCGTGCCACTAACTTAACAATTGCTGTGACTTGCTTAACGACTAGGTCATAAAATGGGGTCAATGCTCCCTGAACAACTGCAGAAATCTTGGGGTCAATTTGGGTCCTGCTCGGATAAATGGCCTAGATATTAACACATAAAACCGGAGTGGTGCAGTGGCCTAGAGGTGGAGCTCTCGCCTCTCAATCAGGAGGCTGCGAGTTCTATCCCAGGTAGAGGCTGATATTTCTCTCTCTCTCTTTGGGCACGATGAGGATATATCTGCCAAATGTAACTCCACCCTGGTAATAGGAAGGGCATCCGGCCAGTAAACACTATGCTAGCTCCATTCAGTTGCCCAGATTCCACCCCACAAGGGATTATGGGGTTGTTAAAAGATATTAATACATAGGATCTGGAGAAGCAATGTTATTTCAAAACTCAACCTGCAACTCATATAACTTCAATTCCTCCCCACTTGCAAAACCAATAGCATCCTTCCATCCTATGCATGCCATAGTATTATATGCTCCTTTTAGCCATGTGCCGTATGCCTTACTATTTATAAAGCACTAATCACCTTGGAGAAGGTCTTGACGTCTTTAATTTGTTCTTGAAGCTCCTGAATCCAGATTTTATCCCCCCCCCCGCCAGACTATATTTATTTTATATTGCCACCTATTCGCCCTTGGCAACTTGAGGCAGCTTACACAATGTAAAACCATATTTAAAACAAAAACAAAAACAAAAAATAAAAACAAAAAAAATATCAAATCAATTAGTAAAGTACAATAGAACAAAATTTGGAAAAAAAAAATACAGCCCCTTCATGCATTGATTCTGAGAGGGTTTTTGTTTCCAATTTACATTCTATGATTTCGTACAATAGTTTGGTCCTCCCTCCACAACTCTTCCACTTTCTCCCGTGACCCCTTCCAATGAAATGTCTCTGGGGAACCTCCCCGCAAATTTTGTTGGGCTTCCCTTTCGCTTCTCTTGCATCACGACTGTTGACGCTCTGCAATTGCACAAGTTATTTCATTTCAGCAAGGTGAACTGTGATTAGGACTTCTAAAAACGGGCGCAGAAGCAGCTAGCTTTGCAAAGACAATCCTACGTTATTCCCCTCCTGGGTCCCGCTAATTCGTTGGCACTAATTTTCGCATCCCTTTTAAAGTCCTTATATGGTTTCCTACTAATGACAGAAACAAAACAACACAAAAGCAGGCATTTCCAAACATGGCCCCTTTAAGACTGCTGGACTTCAACTCCCAGAATTCCCCCAAGCCAGTTTTGCTAAGACTTCAACTCTCTATGCCTGCTTACTCTAGTCATCCCTTCCTCTGCAATCTTTCCACTCTAGGGAGTTGGAGGGGGAAAATAACAAGCATGGTTGAATAGGGAATTCTGGGAGTTGAACTCCACCCATCTTAAAGGGACCATACCTAGAATAAACTTTTCCCCGTTTCCAGTAAATTTTGATAACATCTGGATTACCAAGATTTCGAAGCCAGCAGCCCACAAACCACGGCTTAAAAAAAAAAACCTCCCAATGTATCTAAGGTTTATTGGCAGCCCCAATTTGCCAGCTCAGGTGAGTATTGAACTCCCCAATATTTAACTGGGATTAAACCAACCAGAAGTAACCAAGGAGTTGCTTGCCATTTGCTCCATGGAAGACACAGGTTTAAGCTACGTTCTGGGAAACAAGCCAGCTTAGCAACATCTAAGGTTGTGGGGGGGCAAACAAGCCGCTAATAATCCCAATACAGCTTCCACACCAGCTGTAATGCCCAGCTCAGCTGGGGGGTGGGGAAGAGCAAGAACTACCCTTCCCAAGATGCAACTGGGTGCTTTCAAAGCCCTGCCCAAGCCTGCCCAGGCTGGCTTTTGGGCAAAGGGGGAGGGCTTGGAGACTGCCTACATTTCCCAGCATGCACTGCATGGCCGCCTCCGCCCTGAAATGGCTTCTGAGGAGGCTGGGAGTTGCAGTTCCTGATGGGGAAGCTTTCCAAAAAAGCAGCATGGGAAAGAAGGGGAGAAGGGAAAGAGCCCTTCCCTGGGGCAGAGGGGCTTCCAATGCAAAAAAGGGGGGGCTCAGGACCCCCACCCATTTTATCCCACCCTCCTCCTCCCCATGTTTTTTTTTGGGGGGGGGGATATCTATTTAACCCAAGTAGGAAGCAGATTGCTTGCTTTGCCATGCATGCAGACTTCAATCGCATGCAGATGTGATTTAGAAGAAGGGGCAATCTCTTTCAGACCCCTCCCTCCCAAAAATAAGAAACTACACCCCCCCCACACACACACAATTACCTCTGTGGAGGAGGGGATGTAGCCGGCATAAGCCAGGACAAAGCTGCAAAATTTGTTGAAGTCCTCGATGGTGCGTTGCCGCTTTTCTTGAGGCTGGTAAGGAAAATATTTTGTTGGGGGGGGGGGGGGAAACACGAGGAAAAGGATGTTAAACGAGGACTTGCATGCAAAAGGAGGCACCCCTCCTCCCATTCCTCCCCCTCCCCCACCTGCCTTGCTCTTTCCGGGGATGGGGTCTCCAAAGAAGGGAGGGGGGCATGCATGCACTGCTTGGAAAGCCCCCCCTTTTTTCCCCATGTGCTCCTTCCATCCAACCCCCCCAAAAATAGGCAGGTAGGGTGGGTAGAGAGACGGAGGGGTTGCTTCCCACCTGGAGCACATGCTGCTATCTTGTAAGTTTGGAGGGGGAGAGAAGGGAGGGAGGGAGGGGGAGAGAAGGGAGGGAGGAAGAAGCCCCCCACCTTCCAACAACACCCTGAGAGCAGAGAACCCCCCTCCACACCCATGAGGAAGGGAACCCCCTCCCCACCCCAAAACTTTTTTCCTTTCTCCCCCTTTCCCACGTCTCCCCCTTTACCTGTGTCTCGGCTTTGAGGCTCAGAGGGGGATCTGGAGAAAAAAAAAGGGGGTGGGGGAAGACAGAACAAAAAAGAGGGTTATATTGAGAGGGGGGGTGAGGTTGGAAGGAGAGGCCTCTCTCGACTGCCCCTCCAATGCACTGCACCCCACCCCGAGGAAGGAACGAAGAGAAAGAGCACAGCACAAAGCTGAGGGAGGAGACCCCCCCCCCCCCCCAAAAAACACATGCACCCCAAGGAGAAGCCAACCCTAGCATTGCGGGGAGGGGCTACTGACCCCTCCTTTCCCCCCTTCCCCCCATTTCCCCAGCCCTTCGCCCTTCCAGAGGAGGGGGAGCTGGCAGGAGACCCCCCACCCACC